AGATAATATTACCTTAAAGTTTCATATGAGCTTTGCTGCATGGTACGTCTCAATCTGCCAGTTATCGTCTAAGATTATTGAGGTAAATTGCCAGCTCCTAACTGATGATTAAATCAGTATATTATAGAAAAAAAGGATATCAATACCCTATAAAATACTAATCAACTACAGAATAACCCTGGGTAAAGAGAAGCTTACATATTGGAAGCAGCTCACTAGGTGAAAAGAAAACTACTATCAAAGCTGTCATTTTTCTTGATTTCATTCATTTCTTTTAAATAAATTCACACAGTCTACTACTCTCCTCACAGACATTACAGAGAGGAAAGTTCTTCACTTGATGTTTGTCAATGCTATTACACACTGTGTTAACTTCTATCAAATGCTTTAAGAGTACAATCATATAGCCAATTGGACGTTTTCTGAACTTCGTAAATACGAGAAACTAACAATAATCATGAAATAACAGAGGAAGATATTCCAAAAACACATTATTCTCATTGCTTGCGGAATAAGGTAGAAGATATAATTAAGTGGCACAATTCAATGACACAAAAAGACCTGGTTAGGCATGTCAAAGTGTTGTCAGGCATATTGTAACCAGGCTTTTTTGTGGCATTGGTGCAGTAAAAACTTCTTTCTGGCACCTCAACCAAACAGCTCATTTTTGTTCAAGCATCACTGTATTGTACTCCTTAAAAACAACCACACCATCTTTTTCCAGAGCAGCCTGTATTTCTTTTGAGGTTGCCTGTGGGTTTTTCTTTGAATCCCAGACAATTGTTCTGTCAGTTATGTCTGCAATCTTTCTTGGTCTACCTGACCTTGGCTTGGTATCAAGAGATGCCCAAACTTTCCACTTCTTAATAGGTGATTTAACAGTACTGATTGGCATATTCAAGGCTTTGGACATCTTTTTATGTCCTTTTCCATCTTTATAAAGTTCCATTACTTTGTTACGCAGGACTTTTGACTGTTCTTTTCTGATCCCCATGGCTCCATATCTAGCCTAGTCGGTGCTTCCACGTAAGAGCTAACAAACTCATTGACTATTTATACACTGACACTAATTGCAATTTAAAAAGCCACAGATGTGGGACATTAACCTCTAATTGGCATTTTAGCCCGTGTGTGTCACCTTGTGTGTCTGTACCAAGGCCAAACATTCCAGGGTATGTAAACTTTTGATCATGGCCATTTGGGTCATTTCTGTTATCATTATGATTTAAAAAGGAGCCAAACAACTATTTGAAAATAAATGGCTTCATATGATCATCATCCTTCAATAAAAGAGCATTTTTTTGTCATGATCAGTCATATTTTCAATATCAATGCCAAAATTTCACAATTTCTGCCAGGGTATGTAAACTTTTGAGCACAACTGTAGGCCCTGCAAGTGAATGTAAAAAGCTACTGCACCATATATGTGCAGCACCAAGCCCACAGGAGTCGATTGTTTTTTTCCCCAGGATTACCCCTTATTTTTGCCCCACAGCCAGCCACAAGGTATTTTTCAAAGCCAAGTACACATACTAAGAATCAAAGGTGTAATAATAAAGTGTTATAGAGACGTCTCTACTTCTGAAGAAGTGCGTGCGCACAAAACGCGTCAGTTGGAGCCCAGGACGTCCTGACGTCACACCGCCGGCGCCACGTGGAGGCCCGGCGGCCATTTTAGACATTGGATGGTCAGTCATTCCTGTTTTTACCTGCAATGCGATTCATTGTATCCTTGCTATATTTGCTCCAATAAAAGTTCTTCATTTACACCACCATGAGTATTTCCCTTGGTCTCCTGTGAGGAGCACTTCACTTTGCAGAGCCCGGACGGGATCAATCAGCTCCAGAAAGGGGAAAGTGTGTTCACCATCAAGATTTTCCTATTACATTATTGGAAGGAGATCTCTGACTTTCCGGATTCCATCTTTACCACACGAGGGCGCTCCTTCTTCATTTGCCTCAGCTCCAGTCCATTCTCTGACCAGAAAGAGGGGGATCTTCAGGATTATTCATATATCGCGTATTTTAAATACGCTTCTGGTTAGTGCACATTTCTACCATATGCACTGGAAACGCAGAGAGCACCTTCATAGAACTTTATTGCACTTTATTGCCAATTTTTACATATATTTGCTATATTTACATATATTTGTATTGTTTGTATATTGGCATCATTGGTTTGTGTACTTGCATCATTGGTACCTTTTCATTTGGCAGCGCTGCATTTTACTTCTTTTAAGTACACATACTCTTTTGCTTGTTGTCTTCAATAACCAGTCTAGGGGATGTTTGTTTTTGGAGTTTTATTTCAGAAATGGGGATAGGGATGGGGAATTTAGTAGGATGTTCCAAAATTAAAACTATTCACACTTGAGGCATCTAGCGTATCTCTTAGTTGAGCACTGTTGAAGTCCTTGCTGAAAACAGATAGCAGACTTGTCTGTAATGTGTAGTAACAAGTAGTTCAGGAGTGAGCAAAGTTCTTTTAGCGGTAGTAGTAGTAGCAGGGCTGAGCTCCTCAGGTACACACCAGTTATGACAGACAGCAAAAGTCCAAAGGTAAAGTAGCTGAGCAAAGTCCTATGCAGTAGCAACAGTTGGACAAGCTCTTCAGAACACTATCCACTATTCCCTTTCTTTCAGACCCACGCTTACTATCAAGCATCAGAGGGGTAGTGAAGCACCCAGAGTCCCCAAGATCTCTCAGTGTCTGTACTCACAAGCCCAAGGACAGAATGTCAGCCTCCTTCCAATCTTCCAATCAACTCTCTCTCCAGTAATACTAAACAGATATTTGGCAGATGGCTCACCTCAGTAGAACCAGGGTCACCTGCAGTAGAACCAGGGTCACACTCTCTAACTTCAAGCTCTTAGGTCGCCCACCTGAGGCCTGCATGGCAGCAGGTGCCAGGTGAGGCAAGCCTGCCTCCAGCCTGGCTTGGTTCAATTCTTTCCCGGGAAAGATGCTGAACCCATGTGCTCACAGAACAAAAATACCACTCCCAGCCTGCAGTGGGGCTACACTCTCCTGCAATTGGCCAGGACTGTATCCATATTCATGCTGTTCAGTTACCTAGCCCCTACCCATGTTCTGGAAGGCTCTCATAGCTTCCTGAAGGAGGGCAAACTCAAACAGCACCAGAGCAGCATCAGCAGACCTACCTAATCAACTCTGTTAATCAGAGAGCCCAATTAAATTGTCCTAACAATCTCTCTGTTAAGCAAAGAAACACAGCTATACTCACTCCAACTATACAAATTCTAGCACCTAACTAACGAGGTATCACTGCAAGTTTTGGAGTTAGATCAATAATTCTAGGGTCATGATTCATGGTTAACTCTAATATGACAACCTGTAATTGCTTTAAATTTAGATACTGTTGTTTTTCACCATTTCATGGGCACTTGCAACTTTAAGTCTTGACATGCTTGGTATCTATTTACTCAACGCAACCTCATCTTTTATATTTTACAAAAATGGGTATTTATTGTGTTTGTGTGAACACTAACACTTTACAGAATTTTGTCCTTAAAATATACACAAATATTGAGTGACATAAAAAAATTGCAACGGCCACTATCTTATTCTCCAGGGTGTCTGCTTTCAGAAAATATACCATGGGATTCTAAGTAATTTTCTAGCATAAATTCTGATCTTAATTTAATGTGTGTGAAAAATTTAAAAATTGCCCCAGATGTGAAGTGGTTAAAGAACCTTTTTTGTTATTTAGTCACACCATTATTACATAGTCATGATGCTTAGGACCACTGCCCTTTTGAAATGTTAATTTTTACCAGGGCTTCACTATTAAGGCATACTGCTGCATGCTGTTTCCTCATAACATAGCAGAGGCTCTTGTTATAACTATTATTCCTCATACTACAGCATCGCTTGTAGAGGATGAACTCTTCTTCATACTATAGCAGCAATTCTTGGAAGTGTACCCAGGTGCTTGGCTAGAAACAGAGCAATTTAGGACATTGTGCTGCAGTATTCTCTGTGCTCCCAATAGACTTAAGCCAAATGGGTTAACACTATCTTACCTGCATCAACCAGCAGGAGCTGACAAGCAGAAGGAGCGCAAGAGACTTGATGGTCTACAGCACTGAATCATGGTAGATGAAGTTCCGGAAAGACACTTTACTATGGCAGTTAATGGACTATTAGACTACAATCTGCAATGAGAGCCGGGTATAAAATGAGAGCGAGATGCATTTTCACAGTTTAAATGTCAAGGGATTTCCTCTTTGCTGCGAGTAGACTGAGATGTGCATATCATTGCTCCTATGTGCACATCAACCTGCTACAAGCCTGCGGCTATGTACCGAGTCATCCCAGACAGATTCAAAAATGAGATTGCATTTGAATGGCAGAACCCCTGGTTCTGTATTGCTGGTCTTTAACCCCTTGACGTCGATGTAATGCAAATATGTTGCCTCACAGAACTGGGCTTTTTTTTCCATGGGGCCGCATATTTGTGCACCTGTCTTTGTGCTGGGAGCGCGCCGCACTGCATGCTCCCAGCACAAAGACCGGGGTTTACTGGGAGCCCCAGGTCCTGTTCTAACGATCAGGATCCGGGACTCCCGATTCTGGGTCACATGATCGCTGTGATAGCCTCTGATTGGCTATCACAGTGATCAGTCACTGTACAGCCCGGCCCCCTTGTTTTTTTTTCTCTCTCTATGAATGGAGGAGAGAGATACATTGTATCTCTTTAACTCCTGGCATAGAGGGGAAAAAAAAAAGTTTGTTAACCACTTCCCATCCGTCCCATGTATATAAACGGCCAAACTGGTGCAGTGCAGGTGGCCGTTTATAAACGTCCTCCCTGTATCCCTGCCTGTGCGCGCTCCCTGGGAGCGTGCACCGCGATCCGGTGCCCACTGTGTCCGGTCACAGCGGAACACCAATCGCTGTATGGGACTTCTGTGTGAGGTCCAGATCATGTGATCACTGATTGGCCAATCAGTGATCACATGAATAGTAGTAAGCAAGATGTCACTTCCTGGCATCATTGCTTACTACTTGTGAAATCTGTGAATGATCACAGAGGTCACATGGTACAAGGCTATTCACAACAGCCTTGTACCATGTGACAAGCTGTGACCAATCACAGCTCTCACAGTATTTCTCAATGGCTGCAAGAATGCAGCCAGAGAGAAGGAGAAATTATTGCTTTTACAGCCTTTATGGGTGTAAAAGCAATCAGTATAAAAAAAAAATAAAATAAAAATCTTCATCACCCCCCACAAGTAGTACAGTGTCACTATGGTCACAATGTACTGCTAGGGTGACAGCATGTTAAAAAACCCCATAAATAATAATATCAAAAAATAGAATAAAAATATAAATGTTTGAAAAATTATAATTTTTGGTTATAAACTAATTTGTTTTTTTTTTTTTTACTAAAAAGATAGATGAATACATTTTGGCCAAGATTTATGAAGAAAAATTATTTATTTGCAAAATTTTATAAGAAAAACACTTTTTTTTAAAAATGTTTGGACTTTTTCATTTATATAGCAAAAAAAAAAAAAAAAAAAATCCCAGTGGTGAATAAATACCACTATAATAAAGTTTTAGCTGTCTCAAAACAATGCTAAAAAATTCATATGGGTACAGTGTTGCATGACCGCGCAATTGTCATTCAAAGTGTAATAGCACTGAAAGCTAAAAATTGGCCTGGATAGGTAGGGGGTGAAAGTGCCCAGACTTGAAGTGGTTAAAATAATAATAAATAAATAAATATTAAAAAATAAAATTAAAAATAAAGAAAAAATACCTAGATCAAGGTTTGATCTAGTTCAGTGCAAGGGTAAGTGTGTGGGTCAAGGTCAGGGTCAAAAGTCAAGGTCAAAATGTCAGGTTCAAAGGTCAGGATTTTTTTTTTAAATTGGTATTAGTGTCAGTTAGTGTCAGTGTGTTTTAGGTAAACAAAAAACAAAATGCGCACTATTGTTTCTGGGCTGTACTACGGGTACAAACAACAAATAACATACACATATATGGTATTGCTGCGATTGTCAAGAGCTCAAAAATTTATTTTGGGTTGTTCTTTGGTGGTAGGTTATGGTAGTAACAAACAACACACAGCTAAATTTAAAAAAAAAAAATTTTTTTACTATTTTGGGCCAGTTTTCCTTTGATAATAAAAAAATAAATCAGGATATATCCATTACCATTTACCATCAAATGAGAGCCCAATTCGTCCTGAAAAAAACAATGTATACTTATTTCCCTCATGAACATGCAAATCAGTGCTTAATTTGTTAAACATGCATTTCTTTTGAATTTTTTGTTGCTATTCTGTCTCTTAGTGTTACAATACACCTACCATTTGATTTTTAGACTGATCATTTCTTTGTGAGTGGGCAAACATTCAAAATCAGCAGGGGATCAAATACCTATTTCCCTCACTGTAATTCACCTGGACATACAAAGTAGTTGTGATGATATGTATGATTTTACTAACACGTCAACCTTGCAAAATTGTGCTTAGGTGTTAGGATTTGTTTTACCCTTAGGCGTGAAGGGGTTAATCTGTTGCTGTATTTGCTACATTTGCTACATTTGAACAGCAAAACCCCTGTTGCTGTATTGCTGGTCTTTAACCTGTTGCTGCTAGCAAGGACCAAGCTAGCTGGACATCTAAATAGTAGCCTTATTTTATGCATGCAGACTTTACTAGGTCTGTACTCATGTGCACCACTGTAAAGACTGGTGCCCAATGCTAGCCGGCTGAAGAATTAGGGATAAAGACTGCTCACTCAGAAAGCTGCTTCACAAGAGCTTTGCCTGTTGTCCATAGTAAGAGGTCCCTTTTTAGGGAGTCTTACATTTATTTGCTGCCATTCATATAGAGTGCAATCTACAGTGGTTATAACCTACTGTTCAAAGAGAAGTTATTTCAGTATTGATTATCAGTGGTACTGTTTTCTAATGCCATTACTTATTGCTGATTTTGTGGTTTACCAGGTTTACTCTAGTTTAGCTGCATAAAACTCCATTCTATGCTGCTATAGTGTAGTGAACATATTGTCTAGTAAACTGTGATTGACCTAAGCCTTTACTTACTAATTTATGTACATACTGCTATGTACTGCAATCCATGACAATATATTGTGTTCATTTACCACTAACCATTCTGTTGTTTGCTTTATGATACTGAACCTTAGTTGTTTGCAGAGTATCTATATTTGTGGTGCTAGTAGCAGAGCAGTATCCATTTACTTAACCTGCTGTGTCAGTGGGACTGAGGTTGTTCTCAGAGTTGAGAAAGAAGAAGAGAAGACCTAATTTACAAAGCAGTTCCTGCAGGGGTAGTGCTACAGAAGGGAAACTCTTCCATCCTGACTCAGCAGCAGTGAATGGAGAGAGAACTGTTCACTCATAAATAGAATAAATAACTGATTTTGGAAAGAGAACTCTTTCCTCCTATTACAGCAGCAAATAGTGGAAGGAGAACTCTTTCTTACTCCCACACGAGCAATTATTGGAAGGAACTCTTCCTGCCTTCTACAGCCACAATATTAGATTGAGACTCCTTCCCTTCTACCACAGCAGCAGATATTGGAAGGAAAACCTCTCTTCTGTGATAGCAGCAAATATTGTAGAGGGAGCTCTTTCTTCTGACCACAGCTGCATCTTTTTCAAGGAGATCCTGTCCCTCTTACTACAGCAGCATCTGTTAACCCGGCCATAGACGGGTCGAATTCCAATATAATTTTCTTTTGAAAATCTTTAATAATTTTCGTTCAAATTTCGCACCATTAGTGGATTACAGAAAATGGCTGATTTTCATGTGACCATCAAATTTGAGTGGTCAGGCATGTTGGAAATTTTTTGAAATACAAAAAAATTTCTAATCAATGATGGGAGAGTCATGCGAGAAATGTAATTGAAAAAGAAATGAGCATGAGCTGTGACCTGGAAAGAAAATTCTTGGCCACGAAAATTCTTTTTTGTAGCAACATAGGGTGAAATTGAAGGCTTGGTTGGTCGATTTCGAAATCAATGGTGGCACCATCGGATTACAAAATACACAAAATTTCTGATTTTCTAAAGAAAATTTGTTCGGAATTCGACCCATGTATGGCCTGCATAGGAGGGAGAACTCATCCTTGCTATTACAGCAGCAAATATTGAAATTAGAAATTCCCTTCTACTACAGCAGCAGGTTTGGAGGGAGAATTTCTTCCTCTTATTATGACATCACCTACTGGAGGAATAACTGTTTCTCCTATTGTAGCAGCAGTTATTAGATGGAGGCCACTGTGCTACAACACCAGTAACTACTAGAAAAATTACTCTTCTCTAAAGTTACAGCAGCACCTACTGCAGATATATGGTTTTATCCAACTACAGCTCATATTCTTTGCTTTCAGAAATATACTGTATGTAATCAATGTTTATCTGTATCTCTTATCCTTTCTGGGCACTGATATTCCTGTACTACCTATGTACAGTATGTCTCCCCACTCTCATGACCTTTTCCTATGATTTCACATTAGTATAGACGGTTTAGTTTTTAGTGTATAAATGATAGATAATGTACAAAAGGGAGATGGAAGCCCTTTGGTAGGTACAGAAATAATTTTTCAGCATAATAATAGAATTCACATATTAACAAAATAAAAATGTCTGAACTGTTAAATAACATTTGGTACAACTTTCATTACCAATTTCTTACCTCTTTGGGAATACAGCAAAGTATCTAAAATAGTTAAAAAGGTCATGAAAATAAATGACGGTCTTTGGTGCAAGTCAAGATTGTGTCTCAACCTAATGCACTTACATATCATCTTTCTTTTGATTTTGATCTCTGGAATTTCTTATGATCCTTGTACCAGCATATCAGTGCTGCTCTCTGATACTTAAGAATGTAAAGACTTTCAATGAACCTTCAAAACATGTAAACCAGCTCAATAGCAGCTGAATAAAGAACTTACACTCTTTACCTTTAAAAGCTCTCTTACATTTCTCTTGAGATGTTTGCTCAATCTGCCATTGACCTTTAATAAAAGTTATACTTATTAATGATCCCTTTGTTTATTGGGAATGACATTTCTATTAGGCACTTTAGGTTGCATAAATGTTGTTCAAATGTTAACATACAATAATCATGCTGCTTACACAACCACTTCACATTTTCTCAGTGGGGTTGATTTACTAAAACCGGAGAGTGCAAAATCTGGTGCAGTTCTACAAAGAAACCAATCAGCTACGATTTTTTTTTCAAAGACGTTAGAAGCTCATTGGCTACCATGTACAGTTGCATCTCATTTAGCACTCCCAACATAATAAATATTTTAGTTGCTGTATGTTCAGAGAACCGTATATATGCTGCCCTGTATATGAAACAATGATTTTTATGTGATAATAGTGGGTTCAAGATCTACCAGCCAAAAGGAGGCATTACCATCTAAAATCCACTCCATGGGGGCTTCACCCAAACCAAACCACCACCAAAATCTAAAAACATTTTTTTCATTATTATTACTTTTTGTGATTAGCAATTAAACATCTTGGTTTCCAAATTTTAGTCTCCCTGCCTCAATCCCCTGCCAGTCTTATACTCACTAGTCCTGCAGCAAGCACATTTACTGTATACTCTCTATTCAATCCTGTAATGTAATAGTAGTATTGGTGCAAAAAAGGGAGAGTTCAGATTCCAAGCTTAAAAAGTCTATATACGATCTAATAGTATCTGAATATAGCTCTGATCAATGGCAGCTGTTCCAGAGGTAAGTGCCTCTGTCTTCAGAACACACATAAGAAAAGGAAGTGCCATCTAAGTGCAGAGGGTTCAAATATTTAATATAGCAGCGGTAAGAAAATGAAGGAAAAAACATGCTTGCAATAAGTGAACAGAAGCCTCTGTTTCTCCATCCTATAGGGTCCACCTGAGGCAATGAAGCAGCTGGGAGAGGTATGCACAAGGCCAGGGAAGCTGATAGGGATCCCGGAAGTGTCTCAAACCAGCTTGGCGCGCGCAGGCAGAAGGTGGATAGGACATAAGTACAGAAGAGAAGCAGCAGGTGACAAGCAGGCTAAGCTCTCAGGGCTAGCTGCTCCTTCTACTGGCCTAACAAGATAGTGTATTACCTGTGTTATATACTGTATACATACACACAAAGGCTAAACGAACAAAGGGCTGAACCTTGGAGGACTACAAGCTCCAGCAATACTACAATTATTTCAATAAATATAAATAATTGCAATAAGAAAATATGCATAAGATTAAAATAAAGTAGTAGAAATAAAATTAAAATAACATAGATGTAGGCATATATATTGTATTGTAAGTTAGAGGAAATAATATACATACAAAAGGTGCCAAAATCAACAAGACCTTAAGGGTCCAGCAATCAATATTGAGAAGACCATAAAGGGAAAATGTATTCATGGAAACATCCTATGGGATAATAAATAGGTATAAAATCCAATACATATATATAAATAGGAATATATAATACTGTATATAATCAAACAGAATGATCATCACTAAAATATATACCCTAAAAAATAATAATTATAAAACAGTGTGTACCTCAATGTGCCTAGTGTATAAATCCAGACTGTCTCTTGCCGACTTGAGACGTTCTGCAGTAGACAATGATTTGGATATGGATTCAATAACCCACAAAGTAAGTCCCGAGGTTGACTTGTGATGGTACTCTAAGAAGTGTCTCGGGACGCTGTGTTTGCCTTTCCAATCTTCAATAAAACACCTGTGTTCACCAAATCTTTTAAGTAATGTCCTAATGGTCATCCCTATGTACAAGAGGCCACATGAGCATGAGCATGAGAGGCAAGATATAACATATTCAGATGAACAATTGTAGAATTCATTCCGAATATGTATTTGCCTTTAGTTATGAAGTTTTCTGACCACGTGTCACATGTTTACAGATGAGACATAGCATTTTCCCAAAAAGTATTAGGGGCTTCTCTATAGTGGAAGGGAGGGTTTTCATTTTGCAAGGAGCTACTTTGCTTTTGACATTACTGGCCTTGCGATAGGATACTTCAAGTTTATAGGTTATGGGAGATTGAAGGAAAGTGTCCTCTAGAAGAATGGACCAGTGCTTTTTGAGCATTTTTCCCCTCTTTTTGTACTCTACATGGAATTGAATAGTGGACCGTGTAGGCTGGCAGATACTAGAGAGAGTCTGAACTATTTGTTTTGCTAGAGTGTTCCTAATAATAAGCCTGGAGTACCTCTTGGACAAGTGGGGCCGGCTCAGGGGCGGACTGACAACTCAGGGGGCCCCCGGGCAATAGGGGATCATGGGGCCCCTGTGTCCTTGCCCAAACTCAAAAAAGTCTATGAAAAAGGTACCAGGGGCATCTCATGGGGCCCCCTACTGACCCCGGGCCCTCAGGCAGTACCCGAGTTTTCCAAATGGTCAGTCCGCCCCTGGGCGGGCTACCTTTTGTCTAAAAAAAGTATCTGTGAGCAGGTTGCCGTGTATGTTGTACTCGCTTCCCAGGAGCAGTTATTGCGCACCTGCACAAAAAGTTAACTGCAACTTTATGCTATCACATTCCCCTGATGAAGCCACGTGACTCTGTGGCGACATACGTAGGGGAGGGGCTCTGACGTCACCGCACACCCACTTCTGAACAGCGAGTATAGTCTGAATGAGGAACACACAAGGAGGCTTGTTCCACTCAGCGGGCTGTTTGCATGTATAAGTCGTTGTTTACATGTCACATCCAGCAGGGCTGTTTGCATTTATAAGGTGTTGTTTACATGTACACCATGATGGAGGAGAAACCTGCAGGGTAATCATCTACACCGCAGAGATCATCACAGAAGAACAGAGGGGAGTCTCACCATTCATCTCTTCCTGAAGGATCTAATCATAGAACATCAAACCATCACCTTATTGGATCTAAAAAGCTTGGCTTGCCTAGAATGGGCTTACAGGAAGGTAAGCGCATAAGAATATCATAGTTGCAGCAGAGATTTAAAACAGCGATGTGAACATACCCAGCAAACTTTGGACTCTTATATATACAAGTTTTAATATTTGATTTGTTCACATATTTTTTACTTCAATTTTATTTTATTATTCTCTATATATCTTTTTGATCCATATCATTTTATGCAAAAATATCTATTTGATAGATTCACATTCATTATCTCATACATTATTATAATTTAATTACTAATACCAAGTGGACGGTAAATTTGGTTTGATATAATTAACCACCACCACAACCCGTGATAAAGATAAATAATTAATCTGTTCATCTACTACAGGAGCGCGGCATCTATTTTAAAATCATTTATAATTATGCACATAACAATGAGAATGTGATTTAGTGAGAGCGAACCAAAACTTTACAGTTTATTATATGTGGCTCACAAGTTATTCTTACCCATTTACTCACCTTTTCATTTTCCCACTGGCCCAAATCTGAAAAAAAGTCCAGTATTTTTGGGTTTGGGGAAACATGCGACACTCCCCGTGCCTCCCCACAATGCAAGGCTCAGTGACTGACCAGTATATCACCATTTCCGGGAAAGGAGGAATGGTGCATAGGAATCTTGAGCACTCTGATGTGTTAAGCAGAAGGTAAACAAATGCTCCTAAAGTAGTGTTATGAGCATAATATTAAAAATGACATACATAATGCAATCTGTCAATAGCAATAACAGAGCAGTTTCTGATTATCTGAGTCTTCCCTGCAAAATATATTTTTACCACTAACATAACCACTTCCAGACTGACCTATTGTAAAATGATGGCTGAGCATGAGCACTGTTATTGGTCACAGTGATCACATCATACAGACAGGAACAATCACAGTGCCCCTGTACCACACGATAGCTGTGGCCAAGGACAGATATCACAATTGTACACAATGGCACATTAATGGATGCTATTTTTAAAACATGAGTGCTTATGGCAGTGATCATCACTGTAATAAGCAATCACAGTGTAAAAAAATGAATGTCACTATGGTGACACTGTATTGCTTTAGTCACAGAATTTTGAAAAAAAAAAAGAAAAACAATTGTAAAAAAAAGAAAAAAATGTTAAAATATTGAAAAAAAATGTTTTTTTTTGTACTGTCACCAGTTAGTGTCTCTGCTCTGGTGATACATTTTGTTTCATTTTTTCATTTTCCAAAAAATTGTGACAAAAATAACTTAAAAAACTTGCTAAAAAACTTAATTTGGACTGTCTACTTTCCAAAAAGGGGTCATGGGCAGGGGGAGAGGGGGGGCATTTTAGGGCCTCGAGAAATGAGATAGACAGTACATCAGGATTGATACTTTTTTAAATATATATGCCAAAGTTTATAGACGCTATAACTTTTTTACAGACTAAATATTATACTCTGATTTGGATTATTTTTTTACCAAAGAAATGTAGCAGAATACATATTGGCCTAAATTTATGAAGAAAGATGATTTATTTGCAAAATGTAATAACAGAAACAAAGAAAAGTGTGCTTATTTTTTCAACATTTTCGTTTTTTGGTTTTTTAATTTATATGGCAAGAAAAAAATTAAAAACCCAGTGGTAATTAAATGCCAGCAAAAGAAAGCATCATCTATCTAAAAAAAAATGATAAACATTTTATTTGGGTACAGTGTTGCATAACAGTAATTGGCATTTAAAGTGTGACAGCACTAAATATGAAAATTGGCTTGGGCAGGAATGGCGTGGAAAGTGTTCAGTACTGAAGTGGTTAACAGAATGACAATGCAGCTTGTTATGCAGAGAACTCACTCCAGCCTTGTTACTTTGTGGACAGGGTAGTCCTAGTTGAACATGTAGTTTTAAATAGACTTTAAATAATCAAACAAATTAAAAGCCAACTCTAGTTGACACTCTGCTATACACTCAATAAGATGGAAGTCAACTTGTGCCTACAAGCACACGTTTGCAGTGTGACCAGAAGCGATGAGATTGGTCACAGGATGGGAAAGCCAGACTTATTGCTACTCTATTCAGAATGAAAAGTTTATAGATCACTCTCATTCTCTCAAGTCTCCTTTGGGCTGTAATTAAACCCAAAAGTGCTCAGTGCTGCTTTAAAATGTCACTGTAGCGTTAGATATCAGGGGAGAAGGAAATTTTAGATTGTATGCCCCTAGACTTCAAATACTGCACACAAGGGAGACGTCAGAGGTCTATTTAAATGTCTGGTATGTTAATAAGGTGAACTTGTCTCCATCTTTATATACTGCCACCAGTGGGTTTGCCATATAATTAAGTGTAAAAAAAATAAAAATAATAAAGTGCTATTTTCCTTAGCCCTCTGCCTTCTGTGATGCACCATTAAGGCCACATAGCTAATATCTCAGCAGATTTGGGCATGTCAGCAGGAGGCCGAAAAAGAACAAAATACTGATCTTCCCAGTAAAGAGCTGTGCAGAGGGGCATGTCAGCCCAGTCTTAGTCATTGGAGGACAGGCAGGCTGTGCTCCCAGCACAGCCAGGAAACTGACCACGCTGCGATGGATGTGCTGTGTCCTTGCCTAATGTGGTCAGTTTGCAATAGGAAAGCAGGATCACCAGGTATTTCACACAAAGGAAGCAATGCAAAGAGAACAGGATACATTTTAAGACAAGTACAACATACCCATATCAGGATTATGAAATGTTGGGCTAACAAACCCTTTAAATGCACAATTATTTGTTTTTAAAACTCAATATTTATATTTTTAGTTGGAGGTCATGTGTTTGAGTGAGCTAATACTACTTTTGGTGTATTTGTATTGAAATTATTGTTTTGGCACAACTATCATGAGGCATACAATATCTGCAGCACCATTTTTTTAATTCTTAGGGTAGTGCACTTTTAGAAAATCTAGGTTTGGAAAGTTTTTTTACAAACTTTAAAGGGTATAATGTGCATGTGAAAAAATTAAAAAAAAATGGCTGTGCCATCTGTGATACAAAATAAAAGTCAGGGCTAGAAAGGGAAAAGGTTAAAGCGTAACTATGGGCAAAATAAAGAATTACATGTATGCTAAAGTTTGTAAGTAGCATTCACACAGATGTTGTTGTCCCCCATTGTTAACATTGTTTTATTACCTGTTGATACTGGCAGTAGATCCTTATTTTTCTACTTTCTGTAAAGGGTGACTAAGCTGTTATTTATGCAATGAAATTACATATCAGAGTGGTCACTCCATAGATAGGGTAGTCAGCATACACGTTATCTATTTTAACTTTTTTGTAAGTAGCTACAGCAACAGTTTATTTCTCTTTTGGAAAAGAAATGCTTACAGTGGTAGTTGACCCTGTGAGTGCACTTGTACCTATAGGTAAGTCCACAATCAAGCTTACCTGGAGGTACAATGAATATCTTTTAACTGTGCACAGTTAAGTGACATATCAGCATGGATGTCACTCCATATCCTCAAACTAAATCTTTTTAAAATGGAGCTCATACTATCCCCTCCAGCCCGTGCCCCCTCCCCTGACTTCTCTATCAAAATCAATAATACAACCATCAGTCCCTCCCCTCATGCCAGGGTACTAGGTGTAATCCTAGACTCCCATCTGTTCTTTCAGCCCCAAATTCAATCACTGTCCAAATCTTGTAGACTTCATCTACGCAAAATCTCTAAGATATGTCTGTTTTTAATCACTGAAACCACTAAGCAACTTATTCACTCCCTTATTATCTCTCGCCTTGACTATTGTAACTCCCTCCTCATTGGCCTACCTCATCGCAGTCTATGCCCTCTTCAGTCTATCATGAATGCTGCCAGACTCATCCACCTTACCAACCGTTCCATATTTACTATCCTTCTCTGCCAATCCCTCTACTGGCTTTACATTGCCCGACAAATAAAATTCAAAACATTACCAAGAACATATAAAGCCATTTATAACTCTGCCCCAAATTACATCACCAGTCTTGTCTCCAAATATCACCCAAACCGTCCTTTCCGCTCCTTCCACGGCCTCCTGCTCTCTATCTCCCGTGTCTCCTCCTCCCATGCTCATCTCCAGGACTTCTCCAGAGCCTCCCCCATCCTCTGGAACTCTCTACCCCAATCTATCACCTACTCTTCCCACTTTTAGGTGATCTCTGAAAACCTATTTCTTCAGAGAAGCCTATCCTTCTAATTTCTGAATATTCTATTTCTCCTATTAGTTCATCCCCCTCAGTTATTACCTTTTGTACCACCAGCCCCTCCCTCTTAGATTGTAATCTCCAAGGAGCAGGGCCCTCCTAACCCTCTTGTATTGCTGTATTGTCTCCCTTTATGTTGTAAACTGTTGGAGATATACATCAACCATGGTCAATTATGTCACTCATGCATGTGTAGTGATGTTCTGCATCCACGGCCACACAGTATGCTATGGAGTGCACCTGGAAGGAAGACTGGTTGAAGATTGAAGCCTCTGGAACAGTGACAGCACGCTGCTGAAGAGCTTCATTTCGAAGGTAAGTTTGTCATAACGTGTTAGCATGCGGTGCATACTAGCACACTATGGCATAAACCTGAACGGGGGCCCACATTTTTATTTTCCCTCATGTTTACTACTGCTATAAGCCATATGAAATAAAGCTGTCAATAGTAAACCCCCCTCTTCCACATGTAATATGATTTTTGCCAACCTTGTCACTGCTACTTTGCCATGCAGCTTGGCCTCTTACATGAAATGGAAAAATATTGGTTCTACTGGCATGATCAGCAAGAAAAAATCCTGTTAAATGGGAGAAACAAAAACTGTTGTTTTTGCTATTGACAGACTGGGGTTTATTTACTAAAGCTGGAGAGTCCAAAATCAGACTCCTTTCTGCATAGAAACCAATCAGCTTCTAACCTCAGCTTGTTCAATGAAGCTTTGGCAATGAAACCTGGAAGCTGATTGGTTTCTATGCAGAAGGGAGTCTGATTTTGGACTCTCCAGCTTTAGTAAATAAACCCCACTATGTCATATATACAGTATGCCCATAGTTTCTTCTTAGGAAGTTACAGCACCTTTTTTATTTTATAAAAAAATTGTGAACCTTTTTCCAACCCCCTTATGCCACAAGGTCCAGAAAATAAAGTGAACCTGTTATGGGCCCATATGTGTAAAAAGTACAGGTTCAGTACAGAGGGTTGAAGGGAAGGTAAATACATACTTTTAACTGTCTCTAAATTAATGCAAACCTGAAAAGACAAAGTAAAGTTTTACTTTAACATGGATGTAAACTTTTACATATCCACAGTGAAGTGTCTGGCCTCAGGTGATACACAGCGATTAAACAAATCCCCCTACATTAGTTGTACCTGTTTATCTGCAGTATTTCCTTCTCTGCATCTGTTCAAAGTCCAGAACTAATAAAGCTTGTCTGAGCTGTCAGAAAAGGGGGCAGAGAACTGAAAGTAAACACTGCAGGGGAGCTCTGAGAGCTGATTTGAGGATAGGGACACCACTGTCCCCTTCATGCAGCACACAAGAAGCGAGCCGGGGCTGTCAATATGCTTGAGCTCCTTCTTCTGTCACTTTTTTCTCTTGGCTTCAGGAAAATTTGTCAGAAGCAGAGAAACAAAGCAGTAGACAGAATTGACACTTAGTACACACATTTACCACATTAATTGCATACTTTGATGCTTTGATCACATTATGTCTGAAGTTTACAACCACTTTACATACTATTAGATACAACTGAACAAATACATTAAAAAGAAATTAAATGTAGCAGATGTTGTTGAAACAATTATGTTAAGAAAAAGTCTTGGTATATTCCTCTATGATAAAAAATCCATAACACAAAGCCACATAACCCATAGTTTGAACAACTGTGGCATCTTCTTTACACAGCTAATCTCGTGTTCCATGTTCACACACTAATTGATGACTATGGGACAGGGGCGGACTGACAACTCATGGGGTCCCCGGGCAATAGGGGATCATGGGGCCCCTGTGTCCTTGCCCACACTCAAAGCACACCCACAAAAGCCTATAAAAAGGTACCAGAGGCATTTCATGGGGCCCCCTACTGATTCTGGGCCCTCGAGCAGTGCCCGAGTGCTCAAATGATCAGTCCGCCCCTGCTACGGGATGAGGTTCAGTTTTGGCACTACCATTAGTTTGATACAAATCCTGTGGGTTCAAGGTTTGCTGTCCCAGCAAATAAACGTTGAGAATTTTTTTGCAGAATTCTTTGTAACAATAAAGGTAAGGGCCTTTAAACTTAGATCAGCTGGCAAAGAAAGGCAAATAATGAGGACTTTGTGCTAGCCTCCTCACTATAACGGGGGTCACAGAGCAGCCACAGTGTCAGTATAATAGAAGCTGTTACATGGAAAGGATAGGAAAATCTGTCAGACTGCATAAAAGGGCCAGTTAGGAAACCCCTATCTGTTTAATAAATTTAGGCCTAGCCTTGTTGTTAAACAAAAACATGGAATAAAAAAGCAGTCAGACCTTATGCAGGCATGCAGCCTGGGTGATCAGGAAAGGGAAGGCAGCAAGTATGTACCCCCTTACTCTATGATACCTTGCAAGAGGCCTTGCAAAGTACTCTTGTCCCAATATGGAGGGACAAGGGCCTCTTCCCCATCACCGGT